CTGAGTCTGTGTTACTTCACTTAGTATAACAGTTTCTAGTTCCATCCATTTACCTGCAAATTTCATGATTTCATCTTTCTGAGTAAAACTGCTGAGTAATACTCCATTGTATAAATGAACCACATTTTCATTGTCTCTCATACATTAAGGGACACTCATGTTGCTTCTATCTCTTAGCTATTGTGAAAAGAGCAGCAACAAACATGGACATACAAGTGTCTCTGCAATAGGACGAGTTCTTTGGGTATATGCCAAGGAGTGGTATAACTGGGTCAAATGGGAGGTTCATTTGTAGTTTTTGAAGAGTTCTTCACACTGCTTTCCGTAGGGGTTGAACCAATTTGCAGCCCCATGAGCAGTGGATGAGTATTTCCCTTTCCTGACATCCTCTCCAACATTTGGTATCATTTGTTTTCTTGATCTTAGCCAGTCTGACTGGGGTAAGGTGAAATGTTAAAGTGGTTTTAATTTGCATTTCCTTAATTATTAAAGATGATGAACACTTTTTGAGGTGTTTCTTAGCCATCTTTATTTCTTTCTTTCAGAACTCTGTTTAGATCTCTAGCCCATCTTTTAACTGGGTCAGCTTCTTGTTCTCTGTTTTTTTAGTTCGTTATAAATTCTGGTTATTAAACCTCTGTCGGATATGTCGCTGGTAAGATTTTCTCCCATTCTGTGGGTTTTCTGTTTGCTTCCTTGGTTTTCTCCTTTGATGTACAGAAACTTTCTAGTTTAATGAGGTCCCATTTGTTAATTCTTGCCCTTGTTTGTGAGCAATTGATGTCCTGTTTAGAAAGTCCTTTCCTATACCTATATCTTGTAGGTTTTTCCCAATGTTTTCTTCTAATAGTTTCAGAGTTTCAGGCTTTACATTGAGGTATTTGAGCCATTTGGAATTGACTTTTGTGCAGGGTGAAAGATATGGGTTTAGTTTCATTCTTCTACAAGTGGAGATCCAGTTTTGCCAGCGCCATTTGCTGAACATGCTGTCTTTCCTCCAGTTAATGTTCTTGGCCCCTTTGTCAAATATCAGGTGGCAGAAATTGAGTTTACTCATATTTTGGTCTTTAATTTCATTCCAATGGTCTATGGGTCTATTTTGTGCAAGTACCATGTTGTTTTTATGACTATAGCTCTGTAATACAGCTTAAAATCTGGTATAGTAATCCCCCCCGGCATTGCCCTTAGTCCTCAGGTTGTTTAGGCTATCCGAGGTCTTTCGTGCTTCCATGTGAATCTTAGGATGGTTTTTTCAAATTCTGTGAAAAATGTCATGGGGATTTTGATTGGCATTGCATTGAATCTATAAATGACTTTTGGTAGGATGGTCATTTTCACAATATTAATTCTTCCAACCCATGAGCCTGGGAGTTCCTTCCATCATCTGATGTCTTCCTCAATCTCTTTCTTTAAAGATTTAAAACTTTCATTGTAGAGAACT